TCAACAGCAACAAAAGTTAAAAAAGCAACTTAAAGTTTTGCATTTCCATCACAATCATAGTATTAATCGAATTTAGATTTTTCAGATCTTTGTGGTTCAATCCAAACCGTGTAGTTGCCAATTTTTTCAAAGTCGAGTTAGAAGTAGGTACCTACTTACATCTGTTTATACTATAAAAAGGGCAGAAAACTAAAACAAATATATTATGTATTCTGTATCTCGTATCCGTAATATTTTATGGGTTAAAGCCGGTTTAAAAATGGGCTTTTTTTTTCCAAAACGTTCTATTGCCATCATAGAATTAAGTCAAAACGTGTTATTACCATTTCGGTCTACAACGTGCTCTTGCCTTTGTTGTAGGTCTAGTACAATAAATTACATTTTTGATTCAAAACGTGTCACCGCCGTATGTTTTTTCCGAAACGTATTGTCGCCCATGTTATTATAGGTATATTAGGAAAACAATTTAAATCCAAACGTCTTATTGCCATATAACTATATAAGTATGTGCAGTTGCAAAACTATTATTCATATTAAAAATTATTAAAATTGAGTATTTTATCAAACCGGTGAAAATGTTTCTTGAGAAAGAAGATAAAACGGTTTACCTGAAAATGTTAACAAATATTGTGATTTTAACATCCAACTAAAAATCGCACCAAAAGTGCTTCACTAATATGGGGATATCGAACAACCATCAATCATCATCGATTTCAACGTACGGTGTAGAACTTTGGTACTGCAGAATATATTATTCTTAAAACTTTAAAAGATTATTTTTGGCTTTTGCTATGAGTTTTTCATGTTAAATCGTGCTATTAGCTGGACCATATTAGCCTGGGGCCCAAGATTTTATTAAACTACTCAAAATATGGTCTTCAATATTTATCAATCACATAGAATCTATAGGTCTGAATTAAAAAATTAAAATTTTCGATTTTTTTTTATCTCTGATTTTAGGTATATTGATGTTTCTACTATACATTAACCAAATGAAACATAAAAATGGACTCCCTGAAAAAAAAACTAAAAATAACATACCTATTATGCACTTTTTTATTGTTACTACTTAGTACTTACCACACATACTATTATCAGATAAATAATAAAATTATGTACGTTTTCGAAACATGTTTAGCTTGGACAAAATTATTAACAATAATCAATAATATATTGTTTTAAAGACTAAGGTCAGGGGAAAACCATACCATAGTGTATTACTCGATTACATATTTAACATATTATAATACATGTAAAATGTCGGAGGTAATTTAATTATATTTTTGAAACGAGCTTTTGTATTGTTGGTTTATTATTATTCGTGGTTGTTTTAACAGATTGCGGTTAGTGGTTAGGGTTAAACGAAATAAACGGACAAACATTTAATCTCTCATGACTGAAGGTCGTTTTTAGCGATTTAGGCTAGTTTTTCGTTAAAACAAAATTAAAATTTAAGCGCTTGAAATATTAGAGCCGTCGTCAGATGTAATAAATAAATGTATACAAGTGGCCTTTCACTAGCAGTAAAGTAAATTTGTTAAATCGTTATCCCGTTTAAATTAAATTGTTTGAATTGCATTTTTGATTACTCCTTTGTAAGACAAATAGTATGTAAGATACAATTTTTTTTATTAGAAATGAGTATATATTATTTCTATTTTCGAGCACGAACTACAACGTCACATCAAAATCACGTAAATTACATTAATATACATTTAATTATATATTTGCGTTAAAATTATAATTTTTGGGTAAACTTATAATTAATTTTCATTTCTAAAATTACCTCTTCAAAGTATAGATACCTACCTCCAACAAATCATTTTCCGGCTACATAATGTCTGTAGGTACCGTATAATATGCATGCTATGCATATACGATAGAACTTTTTGAGAAACCGAAGAAGTGTCCGCAGGAAAAAAAAACAACACTGCACATAGGTGTTGTAAACTTTTAAGTGTAAGAACACTTATCTATTCTACCAACTTGTTATTTTCTTTTTGCCGGATGTACACGAGGTATTTTTGGCATTCCGCACACGCCAACACACGCGTGACTCGGGACGTCCCTTTTGCCAGCTTAACGGAGCCCGTGACCAGGGATGCTCGCCATTCGTGACATGCGACATGCGTATGTGTCCCGTACTTCGTATATGTGGGTAGGTTATATAATGTGCAATTTCGACATGTCCGTTGTTACACTTCAGCTGACTGCACCCACCACCACCCACCGCAACAATCATAAATTACGACGTACCCCGCCGCTGTTAATTATTCTCGTCGGGGTTTGGGCTATACCTATATGTATATATAGGTCAGCGTAGTTTACGGTTCCTGAAAATTGCTCGCTCGACATCCCACGGTGGTGAAATAATATTATTATTAGGCGGGCGCCTATACCACGCGGTCCTATATTTCGGTGTTTACCATACATTCATTTTATTATCGGTAACCGATTTCAAATGTCCGCAAGAAATCACGTCCGGACCGCGCGCGTAACCCGAAAAAATATGCGTTTGAAATTTTAAAATTTCTTAATTCTAAATTAATAAAATAAATACTTTTATGGAAATATTTCTCGACTTTATAATGTATGTTAGATTGTTAGATTGTTAGACTTTAGATTGTTAATATCATTTCGGAATATGTCACAATTGGAGGTTTTCAAAACAGATTTAACGGTGACGTTAAGATAAGTGACCGTGACGGGGAGAATAGGTGTTATGTTAAATTAGACGGTCTATAACACTTGGACACAATCATTTTGGCGCATGGACATTATTGGATGCGAAGATATTTGGGTACCAAAAATACAATTTGTTAAAGTTTATTGCTGAGATATTTTTTGCTTGTTTCATACTTTTAAAAATCGGTATGGAATATTGCAATTATATTTTCGCTTGCTTTCTCAAAATATATACATTAATCGATAGCGAGATGGTTGACAACGACGCACATAAATATAATACAAATTTATAGGTTCTAAAATAAAAATGTGAAGCCTGGCATAGCTTCTGGCCATTTCAAAATATAAACATTGTTTGAAAACCATATAGCTGACAACGACACACAAATGCAATCAGACAAATTAATTTATAGTTTTAGTGTAATAAATTGAGCTCTATATTGAATTCAATCCGAAAAAAAATATGGTTTATCTAGAAAAGGATAACCTTAATCGAATAACTAATAAATACTTCTATGAAATGTTATAATTGAATATAAAATAAAATACTAAAACTCGTGTTACCCGAGTATTAATGTATACATCGTAAAATGACATATTTGTGGTAGTATATGTTGGAACCACTATACCTATACAATCTATAGTATAGATAAATGCTAAAAACTAATGAAAAAACACACTTCTCAATATTTTTCCTATACAAGGAAAATCTATGAATCATAAATATGCTTTTTGTTGATAAGTAACCGTGAACCTTACGAACCTTACGAAAAAAGAAACAAGAAATGTGATTCGGGCCCAACAACATACCAGCTATTTATGTTAAAATTTATATATACCATTTTTTACTCAAAGAATCCTAAAGAAACTTTGATTAAAAACATACATTTGTATAGATATTATGTCCTACAGGTATGTTGATGATATTTTGTGCGTACTTTGGATTTGTATGTGTATGTGTGTGTGTGTGTGTACTGTACTAAACCCAACTCTGGGTTTGCATAATAATTATTGTGATACGCAGGAGGTATCCGCTGCCAACCCGAAGCCAGACGAGAGCGATGGGAAATAAAATATATTTTAATATACTCTGACCGTCGTCGTAACTAAAAACATAATATTATAGACGGAATTAAGAACAAGTATTATATTATGAGCATTATAAATTACTTGAGGTCATGTTATAATCAAATATCGTTTGTACTGCAATATAATATAATATTATATATTTTATATTGTTGTTCTTCAGCTCGCGGCAACCGGTTTAGAAATACCTATTCATATCGTGTGGCGAGACTGTATTCTTCGTCAACTACCTACTGAGAGTATTTTAATAACAAACGGATCATCGGTGAGATGAATATAATATATATATTAACCACTATATTATTATGAACCACGACCTCGAGGACTGTATTTCACGAAGTACCTATACCGTATGAAGGGGCTGGAGACAGAGGTGACAGTTGTTTACCCGTGGCAACATTTTAAAGATATGTTTTTAAAGTTTTTTATAAGTACAGTAATGTTATACAAAATTATTCGAAAACACGAATGTAAAGATATACGCTCAAGTTCAATTTATTTGTAATTTAACGAATAATGGGATATATATTTCATAAACATAAGGTAATTGGTTACCAATTGCAGGTTTCCAATTTGTTAGTAAATTACTGTAAAGTTAATATGGGTTTTTAAAAATATCTATTAATTATTTATGAACATAATGTTTCAATATTTGAAATTTACTTTCCAGCATCGCCATATTATAGATTTTTATGTTTTATTATTTCAAATCAAGGGGAATAAACCTATAATGGAATCAAGTATTTCTACAGTCATTGCGTTGGAACCGCACAGCTTTTGAGGACCTATTGCACCTCTGAATTACTATATTATACAATGCTATACACATATATAGGTAGGTACCTACGTGTCTTCGTGAGTTTTGAGGATTAAATTGAAATGTTTAATGCAAGTATATAATATTATAAGCTCGCATATATAGTCAACGCATAATAATAATAATACGAGAACAAACAAATTTGCGTTACATAAGTTTTCGACGATTATTTCATGCATAAATTAAATTTTCTGTGCAAGTTTATTTATCTCAAAACAAATAACATAATTATGCTACCACGGTATTGTTTAGGCGCCTCGCGCCTCTAATGAATACGTGTACTACCAGAATATAGCGTTTTGCTTATTTATAATATCGGTTAAAGCAAATTCAAAAATATCATAAATTAATAATCTGTATGTGTATCGCAAACGTACATAGTGAATCACAGCTTTTCTGAGAACGTGCTAAATTAAATTTCAATACCGAAAAATGATAAACGTGACTTTCGGTTAACAGGAACTATAGGCGTACCCCAATCTGAAGTTTCTACAGGCACTAGCAAATTTGTATTCACTAGTCTATCAATCTCATCGCTAACTTTACCTTTTAAGGCAAATGGTAATACTCTGGGTTTAAGAAAAACAGGCTTAAAATCTTTTTTAAGAATTAAATCAAACATTTTGTGCTTATAACAACCCAAAATATCATTAAACACAGACGGAAAAGTTTGTACCACATTCTGGTATGATGTTAATTTACATAATGAATAAGTACCAGAAAACATTGGAATACTTAACTTAGTCAACCATTCCCGACCAAGAATTGGAGGACCACCCTCTTTAACAACAACCATTTCCAATTCTTTACAAACATCTTTATATTGAACTCTAACTTTTAATACACCTAAAGGCACAATGACAGAATTGTTATAAGTTTTCAACCGCACATTAGATTGTTCCACTCTGTTCAAATATTTAATCTCATAATTTTTTAAATCATTAACATTTATAACAGTCATACTCGAACCCGTATCTATTTGAAACTCCACAATTTTATCCTCAACACTCAATTTCACCCAATAAGGTTGAACATAATTAACATTAACAGTTTCTAAATTGAATAAATTATCTAAGTTTAAATCGACATCACATTGTTCTAAATTATTAACTTTTTTTACCTTAGCTTTACACACTTTTTTTAGATGACCTAACTTAGAACAATTTGAACATGAATATGATTTGTACTTACAAAATGGCTTTGTGTGACCCTTTGTCCCACAACAATAACAAACCATATCCTTTTTACCATTGGCATTTGATGTAGTAGCCTTCCCATTATCTTTTGTTGGTGGTATCCTGTTCCCGACGTTGTTTTGATACTTCTTACTCTTGAGCTGTTTATGATAATTTACTGCATGTTGTTGATCCAATTTTGTGACGTCGTTACTTGCTGATTCCATTGCAAGTCCCAATTCCACACACTTTTTAAAGGTTATAGTACCTTCTGATAATAGTTTTTTTTTAATATTATTGTCCTTAACGCCCCATATGAATTGATCACGCAAAGACTCATTCAAACTGGTAGCAAATTCACAAAACTCGGACATCTTCTTGAGTGCCGTGGAAAACTGAATAATAGTCTCATCAGCTGCCTGTTTACGCTCTTTGAATTTATAACGTTCTGTTATTAAATTCGGTTTAGGATTAATATAATCCGACAACGACTGTTTAAGATCATCATAACTAAGATCCAAGGGTTTTTTAGGCGTACATAAGTCACGAACTAAGGAATATCCATCATTCCCTAATAACGTTAGAAACATTAACTTTTTCTTATGCTTATTTATTTCATTAAGGTTAACATATAACTCAAACCTTTCAACCCACGCATTGAAATCATCATCCTTTAAACGCAATTCCGACATTTGCCCTATGCAAAAACGGCTATTACCAACACCAAGAGCTTGAGTAACAACTTGAGACGAATCTTGTTCATTTGGCATTTTGACTCAACAATTGATAAATTTCCACGTGTTCCAAATTTCCAATACTTCAACAGTTCAACACACGCGAATACGTCAATACTTCGTCGCCATTGTAATATTTGTAGGATGATGATAAATTAGCAATAAACAATTTAACTAAGTGTTCTTTTAATATTTTTAACATAACATAATAAAGAACTGAACAACTTCAAGCATACTACAAAGCATACTTATAACATGAGTGACTGTGTGAGTATATGACAATTGACAAAATATTTTAAGGTTATATCTAAGGTCATGGAACAAACACTACAGCGGGGTGGTAAAATAAGAATGGATTCCGATATGGATTTCGTACTTTGCGATAAACCACATGATAAAATGAATTTATAATTTTCTTTTACGAACGAGAAACATGCTTGGCTTAATAATTGTGCTCGTATTTTCAAAACATGTAACTATCACATAGTAGGTAATTTCGTTTATTCGTGTGTATATTATTTTACTTTAAGGTTAAAGGTTCAAAAATTCATTTTATTTACCATTTCATTTCCACCACATTGGCTTTTACTATAGTTCTCGGGAAAAATACAGTAAAAAGACAGTGTTCATTATTATAATAATAATAATAAAAAAATAAAATATTGTTCACCTAATTTGGAGTTTTTTTTAATTTTGTGACTGTTTATAATTATCTTATGAATGGAAAACTTAGGCGTGCGTCTATTATATGTAGCCTGTTCCAAATGAAAAGAATCCCAAGTTACCAAATTATTACCAACGAGGGATTATTATCAAAAGGAAAATTGTTTGTAAAATTAAATTTAAACATACATTTCGTTGAGCTTAGTTCACTGAATATATGAATACCATGATCACACACTGCAGTTGATACTTTATACCATAAATACTTTCTTTCTGCCTTTATATTATATTGCTGCAGTCTAATATATTCATCTTTAAATACTCAAAGGCATGTTACGTACATCTGAATGTATTCTAAACTTTCGTTATAGTTATAATATAATACGCGAGTTGTTATTTTTACTTTTCAATGGACTAAATTAAGTATACTTACCCAATCAATAATACAAACTCTAATAATCATGCCATTAATTATTATGAATAAGTTATAGAAGATATTTCATGTATAAATTACGATTATTGTCAAATGCATATTATTAACTAATGACAATAATATATTGGATAAACTATGAGATTATCAATTATGTATTCAACCAAAGTTTGACATAACACTTAAGTAGGTAGATCTAAACGATTATAATCGTATCTGGTATCTATAAGTACTAAAAATTATCCACAAGTTAAACCCATATAACTTAATTACTATATAACCATTAGATTTCATGTTCCCTATTCGTCAATTGTTTTTGTATTATAATAACATAATACCTATGTTCAGTATTGTACAATGGACTATTTATGCAGATATTAATTTAAATATAACAGGAGAGAGAAATACCAAATACTAATAATGTATAATTATATTATAGGTAGATACATTATCTTCTTACTACCTCAAAACTCGTATAATGATTATAGGTATATATCCTAAGGGTCCCGGTACCATTTTTTTAAATTTTTCACAAGTCTATAAAAATAATATATTATGTTTTAGTTGCCACCTCAATTATTAGACTTTTCCACTAATCTACTACCCGATACCTGTTTAAGGAGGGTTGAGAGGGTGTATTCTATAAAAAAAAAATGATCTTACTTTAATAACTCTCGAGTTTTGGAGAACTGTCGGATTTTTATGACTATTTTTTTTAGACATATTATAAAGTTTGAGAATAAAATATTGAAAAACAGAGAACGATACGGGCTGTAGAATATTTCCCTCTAGCAATTAAAAAAAAAATTAAGAAATTTGGTTGATTCTACAGTTTGGTTATTTCAGCAGAGTGTATTTTTGAGGACAAAATGGCATCGGCACCGGCCGTCTTAAATGTTAGTATGTATATTTTAACATTCATTCAATCTGTATATTATTCGAAAATACGTCGATCAACTAACATTTTACAATGATACATATTACAAAAGATGGCTATTTCAAACTGTCAATCATTTTAATTTTTATACATCTTATATCCTGTGTTCCAGTGTTAATTAATACTATATCACAATAGGTACTCTTGTTCTCCGATCGCTATTGTTACGCGTTCATAAGAGCTGTGTGGTGAGTTTTGAGTGTCTGATGCGTTTGTCACTGTAAAGGGTACCTTAATATCGCTCAGTCACCTCGACGTATAAAATATAACACTCCTCCATCGTATTATACTATATGATAATTTTTTAAATGCCTACCGTTAGAAAATTTTTAAAATAAAGAAAAAATTAATAATAAATACAGCACAAGTTCACAATGCCAACGTACCGCAAAATTGCGTTAATAGTTAAATTCAAGTTAGCCATGTATAATTATTATTACACCTTGAAATTGATATTTTGAAAATGCACTGAGAACAAAAAATAATAGTATCTACCCATACGTAATGTCGAAAATTTTTTTGAAAACTGTTGTGGCATTTTACTCCAGTTTTTCGGTCATTCCTTGTTATAGTATTGTTTTCAATTATTAAAAAACAACTGCATGCAATTATTCTACGTTTGAACAATGTACCAACTAGATCGAGAGGGTATATTTATGGACCCCATTGGCCATATTTATATATACTTTGTTTATACCGTTTTCCATTTGACAGTAATAGTGTGCACTATGAAACTCCACTGGCACTACTTCGCAGAAAATCGGCAGTGCGGATGGTGCACACTGAGTGCTCACAGTAAACTATCTATAGTGCATGCAAATCAAATGTAAAACACTACACCGGTTCACTGAATGTTGATAATCCTACGCCGAGTGCAGAAAATGCGTCAAATCAAAAAAAAACTATCAGTATTAAAATAATCTGTTGTTTTTTGTAGTATATTTCTGGACTGGATAATGGCTATGATGGGTTTAAATTGTCTTCCAAGACAAAACCTAATACCCACACTCCACACAGTGACATATCAAAATTATTTATTATACTAAAGTAATTGTGATTAAAATATAATATAATTTTTTCTGTGCTCGCTCCTACTGCATATATTATGTTTCTAAACGCGTCCATGGACTAGAACAAATTGTCTACCAGAAACCACCGTCGGTGTTTAAGATTGAATAGTTTTTTTTGTGCTTCAAAAAGTTTCGTCAGACACAAAAGCCGAAAACACTACATCGTTCAACCAATACATCAAATCTTAAATCACATTCGTTATTGTGTATTATGTTTAATGTTTAAGCTACGAGTTATGAGTATCACTAAAAAATATTATATTGTAATCACTTCGTTATTATTATTATAACACATCATCAATCATTGTTCCACGAACACAATAACAATAGTGATGTGACTGCGTTTAATATACCTAATCGTTTACAAAATATTATATGTGAGTAAATATTATGCAAGTACGTGTGCCGAAATTTCTTACAAATAGGCTGAACTGCAGGTTATATTTTGCGACCAAATTACGAAAATGATCATGAAATGCCTTCGATTTGCGCGGCTGAAAACCAGCAAAATATATATATGTATACAATATTATAATACGATATTATCTTAGTAAAATAAAAAAATTCTTTGTATGAATGAACCTAACTCGTTTTTAAACTGCAGCGAATTGATACAAAACACTAATCACTATATAATAGTTACTTCCAAAAACATAATAAAATGGTAGGTAAATAGATAATAAAGACATGGATAGCCGACAAGACATAACGTATTCACATAAATATATATTATTAAACTAGATAGCCGACTCTGTATAGATTGTGCATACAAATAGGACGCCTGGTCGCCATATGCAGTTTGGGCACTGTTTACAAAATATAGATGTTATCAATCCTCGTGATATCAATTAATTAAAATTAAAATTGATTTTTGCTTAACGATAAACTTTCGTAACTCGTCAGACGTGACACAAAAAACACGTCTTTTTAAAAAAAAATTTTGAAATTCGTGAGGTGCGTGGTAAAGTGCATTTTAGCCAATATCTACAACCAAATATCAAAAAAAAAATTAATTTTTTTTAGCAAATTATTTAATATTTTATTTTATTTTATTATGTATATACTGTGTTCAAAACAATAAATTACTTTACATTTTATTGTATATTATTTGACTATTTTACTAATGTGTTTGACCGTTGGATATTTTGGTTTAGATATTTTGTCCTTGGATATTTTGCCCTAGATTCATTTTTGTAATTAGGTTTCCACTGAAAAATGCTGAAAGAAATCAGCAATGGGTTAATGCAGTTGGCCGAAAAGGGTTTATCCCGACCAAACATAGTAAAGTATGTAGTGATCATTTCCATCAAAATGATTTTGAAAAAAAATGTGGTGGTAGTTATTTGCTAAAACTCAAGGGAACGGCTGTCCCTTCAATTTTTCCTAACTACTCAGACATTATATCAAAAGCTAAAAAACAGTGTCTTGAGCTTGAGCAATTTCAAGTAGCTGGACCAAGCTCTTATATTCCTTGTACTGAAACTAATGAACCAAAATGTAAAATATAATATTTAAATTGTTTTTTTTTTACAATAATTATGTTGTTATTATGTTAACATTTAATAACAGAATCTTTTGTTATTATACTTTATTAATTCAAGGAATTTTACCTGATTTCTTTGTATATGCAGCACTAAACAAATGTTACTTGCAATGTACATTATACTAAGTGTGCATATTCAGATTTGAAAATGAAAATTTTAGTTGCTACCTAGCAAATGTTCAGTTTTCTGGTAGTGCAAGTACTACATTTTCACAGGCCAATATACATTATACACTACTGCCTACTGGAAGTGAGCACTCAGTAATAGTTCTGGTCACTTGAGTGTTATTCAATAATAAATATTAATTATTAATAAGCAATGCTAAAAAAATGACATAGCTAAAAAGAAATATGTTTGAACTTTGAATTTCTATTTTTCTGATCAGTTACTTA